TTTTCTTATTTTATAAAAGTCAAATAGAGAATTTTTATGCACCAAGGGTAGTTTTTAATACATCCGACAAATACACAGTTAAAAAATAAATAATATTAACTTTACACAATTATTTCTTTGCATATTCAATTGATGTATGAATTTTTTTGCATATGCTTAAAATCTGCATATTATAAACATTATTAGTGTATGCGCATTTAAAAGTTCTACAGAGTATAATGCTTAATGAAAGAAAAAAAAGTGTACAATTATTTTGGTCCAAATTTTAAAGAGTTGACTAGAATACACTTCAAATAACATGGTTAACAAAAATTTCAAAATCACAAAGGAAATTATAAATTAATTAATTTAAGATTTTAATACCATGGCACAATTTTTCAATAAATTGTGATATTAAATCATTTTTTTATTTTATTGAGATAATAATAATATTAATAATATGGAAATAAATCTAAATAATTTTTTAAGTCATTATTGGAAGAAAGTAAAAGTTAGAAAAAAACTAGAAAGATTTGAAGAAATTAGAAGTTAGAAAACTGGATAGTGTTGAAAGAAAATTAGAAACTTGAAAGAATTAGAAGAAACTGAAAGGAGTTGAAATTAAAAAAAAAACTCGAAGAAATTTAAAAATGTTACTAGGTAGAAGTTAAAAGTTAACGTTGAAAAAAATGTTACTCCCTTGAGACGGTGTTGGCCGGGTGGTGTCTTCAATTCGGTGGTCATTGTGCATTGGTTTCTCCTATGTGCCCTTCTTCCTTCATTCAACAGGAAAAGGGTGGGAAAAAAAAAAGAATAGTAGGGCCTCTTTTCTTTTTTTTGTAATGTCAGAAAAGGCCAGCCATCTCAGGACTGACACCAATAATACAGTAGCACATAAATGGGCATCTAGCTTGCAATGGTAGTCCACAGATCATTGACTGCCACCTTTGACCAGTCTTCTGCATGCTGTCCTACACATGGCCATCCTCCCAACTTACTCCCCTCTCACTATCACTACCTTCCCTAGCTCAACTCGTCAATAAAAAGAGCAATGCTAGGGTACACCAAAAAGTGTACCCCAAATGTACACCACCCCTTCTCCATAACACATTTTTATTTGATTTTTATTTGTTTATTTTTTTAAAATTATTTTTCCTTTTTTAGTGGACAAGGAGGGGGTGGGGGACATATGGGGTACACTTTTGGTGTACCCCTAGCATTTTTCCAATAAAAATGCAAAAAAGCGTCATGATTAAGTTCGACTCCTCATAAAAATATATTGGATTATGCTATGTGTACCCCAAAATTAATACCCCAGTTTGTACCCCGCAGTTTTGCACCAACATTTTGTGTTGGTGTAAAACTAATTTTTGTTAAACGCACCAACATTTGTGTCCGTGTGAATATTTATTAACGCACCAACACTTGTGTTGGTGTAAACCATCAAAATGTTTGTGCAAAACTATGGTGTACAAATGAGATATATTTTTTGGTGTAAGTATAGCATGGTCCAAATATATTTAGACATTGGAAAATTTAAGCAAATGGAACTTACACGTATCATTTTTTTCATATATCTATTTACTTTAACATTTGTTAATAGAAAATTCTAAAATGTATGCCTTTAAAAATGTGAGTATTTCCATAAGAGCCGGAAAAATGACAAGCATTCAAAACGATCGCAAATGGATATTAATAATGTCCTCTGTTAATAAGTCATTCTATTAATATGACTTATGGTGTTTGTTTGTAGAGTCTACTGAAACGTCTGCTAAAAAACTTCAATTCAAGTCATTATAAAAGAATGATTCATTACACAATTCAAGTAGAATAAGACATTATTAAAATATAATTTGAATAGTTAGTCAAATAATCAGTCATTATCCAATACTTATTACGAATAACCGCATTCGTATAGTCATTCATATAATCAGCTCTTATCCAAAACTTGTTACTAATGAGGACATACATGGTAAATCATATGAAAATATGTGTTATAAAGAGAATAAAACATACTTAGTCCTATCCAGGAAAACATAATACATTTTAGTCCTATATGAAATAAATTTCTCTTAAACATTTATATTTTGCATAAAGCTTAATTTACTTCTTTTTAGATAACTATTTGGAACGGGCTTGAAGGAAATCTAGAAAGAGATTCATGTAATTCAACCATTTTAGAAGAAAAGAGTTACCCGTGATCATATCCTCACTCGCAAGTAGGGAGTACTACAAGGGATAAGACCCGGGATCAAACCAAGAGAAGGGCGACGAGGAGCAACTTTATAAAGCATTGAGGTTCTTTTAACTATTGAAGGTGATTTCCTATGTCTTGCAATACTAGGATCATAACTCAATTATCTCCTCCCAGAAGATTGTCCGACCAATTTTGGGGATACACTAGGCATGGGCGGATCTACCCTTAGCTTATGGGAAGCGCCCAATTTTTAGTAAACTAAAATTAAGGGGCTGTTTGTTTCAGCCTCTTAATGGTTCAGATATCTGAATGGTTCAGCACTTAGTGGTTCAGACTGTTTGTTTCAGCTTCTTAATGGTTCAGATGCCTGAATGGCTCAGACATTTGCCTCTGAATGGTTAAGTATTATACAGAGTCTGAATGGTTAAGACCTCTTATCTGAATTGAACAGATATTTGTCTCTGAATAGTTAATCAATATATAAGCTCTTAATGGTTCAGACCTCTTACTGGTTCATCACTTAATGGTTCAGACCTCTTACTGGTTCAACACTTACTTATTCAAAAGTTGCCAAACAGCCCCTAAAAGAGTGCCCCTAGTGAAAAATATTTTGTGCCCTTAGTCCATTCCATGTTATATGTTTTTCTACCTTTAAATATTTTTTTTCACAAAAAATTTACTTCTATTTCATCATTTTAAATTACGTTTAGAAAAAAGGTATGGGGCGCTACCCTTGAACCGCCGCACTATTCTTTACTCTAACTATATCTTCCGTCATACATATATTCTTGGATCCCTAGTGACCCTAGGTAGGGTGTTAATAGATATTAATCTGATCGGATGTGTCATTACCAAATCTATCTGCGTTTAATTTTGTCGGATATCAAATTCGGATACGGATCTTGACCAATACTGAAAATCAAAACCGTATCCGCATCCATCGGATATCTATCGGATATCGGATATATCTGTATCTGTTTCCAATTTTAAAAATCAAATTATACAATACTTTACTTTTAAATTAGATTAAAGTCAAACTATTATTAAATCAACTATAATTTGTTATGGGATAATTATTTTTTTGTTTTCATAATTTATGATATTCTACGATGACTTCATATGATAAAAAGACATACACAACACATTTACACACATATTTTTATATGTCTACACATATTTTTGCATGTTTACACATTTGTTTTGTTTATAAAAATGTTTTATACTTTGAAATATCAATAGAGAAACAAAATATAAACATAAAAAATTAGGAAAAACTATATATAACGGATCGAATATTCGGATAAATGGTTATTTAAACGGATGTATATTCGGATCGGATATACAATTACCAAATCTGTATCCGTTTAGTAATCAGATACGGATAATATCCGTTTAAAATAGATGCAGATATTTCTTCTTTAAATGTATACGGATGCAGACGGTAATCAGATTTTCGGCTATCCATTGACAATCCTGACCCTAGGAGATGAGGTTCACCCTTTTTTAGAAAAAAGAAAAGAAAAACTCCTATGTTTTAATAAAGAGTGACAATTTGAATTGAGTTTTGCTAGGGTGTCATAGAGAGTTGATGTCTGTGTGTTTTGACAAGTTTGGTGTACATAAGCAGGAGCCTTAGATTTTCCAATCGAATTTTATCACAATCTTAAAAGAAAAAGAATCTTGCAATTAAATAGAGTTAAAAAGAGAAAAAAATCTTGGGTTTTGCTCTGTCTATAAGAAAGGGAGTTTATTTTAAGATGATGAAAGTACAAATTATGATTTAATATATTACTCCTATTTTTGTTACTTATTTTATAAAAGATTATAGCAATGTTATTTCTTAGATCTTTTTTTTAATATAAAAATTTTATTTTTATGTTTTACTTCAATTTCTAATTAATTATTATGAAAATAATATTAATCAAACATCTCGAATCTCAACAAGAAATTAGTTTTACGAGGAAGTAATGTTTGTTTATTTTTCTTTTAATTTTTGTTTTAATTAACTAAATAAATAAATATTCCATTCACTACAAGAACACATTAACAAGTAGAAATACTACTAATCAATCATTACTAATACATTGACTTAGGCTCCGTTCCATTCAACTTATTTTTTTTGATTTGATATGATTTTTTATAGTTCTGATCTGATCTGGTTTGATCTGATTTGATTGGATCTGATCTGATTGAATCTAATCTGATTGAATTTGATTAGATTTGATCTGATCCCATCTGATTCGATCTGATCTGATTTGGTCTGATCTAATTTTAAATAATTTTTAATAAGAATAAGAAAAAAATAAGTTAAACGGAACGGGGCTTTGGTCATTGAACCAGTTCAATCCGTGTGACCTATTAACCGACACACTTGCCTCTCAAATTCGAGGTTGGATCCAATTTTTAAAACATGAATATGAACTAGGATTCCATTCCCAAATTCACACTTTCTTGTGTGTTCCCATCTATATATTGGCCCCAAAAAAAAGTGGACATAATAAGAAGTATCATACTACATCTGTTCCTAAATATTTGCCACATTTGTATTTTCAAGACAAAATATCAAACTTTTTCAATTCATTTTATTTACATATTGATATTGAAAAGTTCTTCGAAATAAGAGGTGTCAAGAATATTTTATTTTATCAAATAACCATTGAAAACTTAAAAATAAACAAAAATTTCCGCGACTGCTGAAAAAGCAAATGTTGTGAATATTTTGGTACGGATGGAGTAATACTAGAAAAAAACAAAATATTGACCCAATTAAATTACTACTACTCCTAAAAAATCAATAAATTAAACAATTCATGATCGAGCAAGCTATCTACAAGCTAATTAATTGGGCAAATGGATCTATACCGTACCACTATTCTCGGACATGGGCGGCGGCGACCGGCGGCCGGCGAGTTCAAGGAGGAGGAGGTTGGTTGGTGCTGTTAGTATTAGCATTATTGGTAGCCAAAGCAAGGATGGAATTGGCGAGTCTGTTGATGGCGTCGACGAGGCCGTTGATGCCCTGCCGGTTGATCTCAGCCGTCGATTCCTCCAGACGCAGTCGCCTCTGCTGCAAGCTCACCATCTCCCTGTGCCTCCTCTCCTCCCTCTCCTCGCTCGTCTGAATCGCCTCCGCTATCAGCGTCGCACTCGCGGCAAGGGCCGAGCTGCCGCCTCCGCTCTGCGCCGGCGCCGCCGCCGGAAGCTGCTCGTGAGTCGTCGCCGCCGTCGTTATTCTCCTCCTCTTTGCTGCCGGTGACTCGGAAGAGCTCTGCTCCCTTGTTTCAGGATCTGAGCTATCACACATCTCCAAAACATAAACCAAAATAAAACTAACGCAAAAAAAAAAATTGAAAAAATAAAATAAAATGGGTACAATTTATAATCTGTACTTAAATTCAGTTGCATGTTTATAATTTGTCTATAACTTATTTGATTAAATAATATATTTACATTTTTTTTTGAAGAGCTTTTGATACAATTTTTTAATATGTAGAAATTTTTTTAAGTTTTCTATTATTCTTTAATAAATTATATTGAAAATAATTTAAGTTAAATATCTTAAACTGAAACAAACAATTTAAATTGAGATGAGAGAAATAATATAACATCAAACACCTATGATGTGCGTTCATAAAATTAATATTCTTATCTTCTAACCCCAATAAGTCCCCCAAAAACGATTAATTTCTTAAATAATCGATGTCATCATATGACATTAATTATTAATACGGAAAATCCCAACCATTACTTAATTTTCTTCAAGAAAAAAAAGAAAAAAACCACGTGAGCCAAAATACAACAGGACCAGGAGTAATGAATAAGCAACTCAGTCAAAGCGGTCAAACTGGTGTGGTTGGTGTACCACTGACCAGTGTCATAGACTTTAATTGTACAGGCACCCCACCCCAATGGCAAAAAGGGGAAATAAAAAGAGACACAGAAAGGAAGTAGAGGACATTATAGTAATTCTCCCTTCTTTCATGAATCATTAAAGCCTTTGACTCCACAATGCCACAATAGATTTTTATTTTATTTATTTGTATGTTTTTATTTATTACTCCCTCGTCCACAATTTAACTTTACATTGCGTGTTACGATGTTTGACTGAAGTTATTTTCAAATTATTTTATATAAAAAATGGTGTAGAATTGAAAAATAAAAATTACATATTAAAAAACTATATCAAAAGATCTACAAAACTAAAGGTGACATGCCTATATTATTTTATCAAGTGGGTGACGAAAATAAGCCAACAAAGTGAATAAAGTTTGACCCTGTGAATAGTGAACATAAAGTTTATTTATGGACGGAGGGAGTATATGATAAGATAAAATATTTTTAACACTTCTTATTTTGAAGAATTTTTTATTTAGTTTTTAAATATATAAATTTATTTTTTTTCTATACCAATATTTAAATAAAATAAATTAAAATAACTTGATATTTTACATTGTTTTTTTTGAAATGTGGTAAATATTTAGGGACGGAAAACAATTTCGGTTTTTTATGAACATTATTGACTTTATTATAATACTCTCTCCGTCCCTAATTTGATTAAAAATTGGGAGTTATGAGGCAAAACCTCTCTTCTTTTGAAATTATTTTATTTACAAATTGATATATCAATTAAAAATAAAAATTATATATTAAAAAACAATGTAAAAAAATTTTACAAAACAAGAGATGACAAGAGTATTTTATTTTATTAAATAATCAATGAAAACACAATAATAAACAAAAGTTATCGGGAGAAGAGAAGGAAAAAAAGATTGTAATCTAATCGGGACGGGAAGAGTACTCACTTTCGTTTTAAAACGTTCTACTCAGTATCTATTCACATGGTTAAAATTTAATTACTTTATGTATCTATTTTTGTTGAATTTTTGATGAAATTTTTAAATATAGAAATTTTATTTTTTTAATTTTACACATACAATCAAATAAATTGAACTGAAATTAAAATTGACCAAACCTCATAAATGGAAACGGAAAAAATATTTTACGATAGAGTAGATTATTAGTTTAAAATACAATCTAATTAGCATTTAATATTTCTAAAATACTCCCTTTACCCTCAAAATAAGCATCTTCTTAGAGCAATTGTCATGATGGTGAGGAAAATTTTGTTTTATTGACATGCACACAAAATAAAATATAGGAGATAAATGCATTTGAAAAGGGCCATGCAAGTGTGTAATAAAACAAGTCTTCTACTTGCTATATCCCTAAAAAAAACTTTAGTTTTGTATTTTTAAATCAAATTTGATGGTTTTTTTATTTTATTACAAACTAAACATAATTTACATAAATAAATTTGTGATAAAAGAGTATTAGTGTTTAACTAAAAAAGTCAAATTAGCAAGGTTTTTCTTAGGAGGTAGTAAAAAAATCACCATCTAGCCCTTCACTTAAATTCACTTAAATGCTAAGCTCTCTTTTAAGTTTTTAAGAAAAGTGGTTAATCATCTCTTGACCAAAAAGGCCTTAGATTTGTAAGGGCAGTAATGTCAAATGTCATGAGAAAGTGGGGAGGGAGTGAGAAAAGAGTACCTACTCTGGGGAAGGGCTGGGCCGCAGGGCAAGGTATGTACAACGGCGGCGGCTGCGCCACCGGAGGAGGAGGTGGCGGCGGTGGCGGATGTGCCGCCACCACTTCGCGATGTTCAAGTGGCTGTTGCTGCTGCTGCTGCATTACTGGTGGCGGCAATTGAGGAACGTAACCTGAAGTCGAAGCGCCGGCGCCGCCGACGACCGTTCTTTGAACGGCCACCGGCGGCTTCCTCTCCACAACCTCAATCAGCGCGTCGTAAATTTCGCGCAGCATGTTGGTGGGCAAGTTGTTGTCTTTCCTCTCGTTCCTCTCCATCTTCCAATACGACTTCTCGCCGCCGCCGCCGCCGTGATCGTGGCCGTCTCCGCCGCCGCCGCCGCTCCGGTGGGGCAGTCTCCTATCGTACTCCCTCACCTTCTTGAAATCCCTCATGAGATTATCCCACTTGTCATTGCACTGGTTCTGGCTTCTCAGACACCCATTGCTCCAGCAATAGTCCTCCACCCACTTCCACCTCAGCTCCGTCGGCTTCCCGCCGCCGTCGCCGCCAGCTTGCCGCCTCATTCTCCGCTCGTCGTCCATCCTCTTCGCCTCCACCAACACCATTGTCTCCTGCACCGTCCAGTTCCCCTTCCTGTACTCCCTCGCCCCGCCGCCGTTGTTGTTGTTGCTATTTCCACCGCCGCCGCCCTGGCTTCCCACCACCACTTCCATGCAAACCAAAGAATTGGTTGAAAATTTTTGAAAGGAAAAAAAGAAGGGAGACTTTGTTTAATGGGTAAGAAGGGAAGAAAAAGACATTCCCTTTAATGGGTAAGAATGGAATTGAAGTGACTTTAGATAATGTGAGTTCCCTATGTGTAATAATGAATTTGAAATGTGTATATGGTTGTGATCTTTTAAGAATCTTGAAAGCTGAGAAGTTGGAATAGAGAAGTACTCCTTGGCTAGCTAGAGATTCAAACTAGTAGGGAAGAGGGGACTTTAGGGAGTGTGTGCAGGGTGGGGGGGAGAAGAAGCAAGGGAGAGGGAGAGATAGACAGTTGTAGAAAGGTACGAAAGGCTAACATACATTATGATTTGAGAGAAAAGGCCAAGCAAATCCACTAGAAACTGATATATCCCCATCACATCCCTTAAAAATTTCACCCATATACAAAAAGGATGAACTCTATCTTGAATTTCACTGAGAAAAGACAAATTGAGATTAGATCATTCATTAGTGCTTAATAATAGAGCATGCACCTGATATTTGCAGAGAGCTTAAAATAATGAAAGTTTTACTCAAATTGTTAAGTTGACAGCCATAAAGACTTTACTGACAATGGCAGATCAGATTTTCTTCATGTCGATCCTGGTGAAGAAGTTTTTATGCGATTGCCACCAAGTTTTACTCCACCATGGCCTTGTGTGCAGGCTCCAGAAAACTTTCTATGGGTATTCGACCGTACTGGTTTGCTAAACTTTCTAGTGTCTTAAGAAAAATGGCATTGTCCAATCTATCTCAGATTACTTTCTCTTTACTCTGAATGGCGAAAGGAGGTAGTCTATGTTAGGAGTGGGTTCGGTTTTAACGGTTCAATTTTTACCTAATGCCAAAGACAAAACGAAAGGTAAGTTGATAGTTCAGTTCGAATTCGCATAAAAAATATATAAACCATTGATTATTCGATTCGGTTTTATGCGATTTTTATTTCTATTTTCTTGGTTTTTAAGAATAAACTTTATAAGCATTGAAAAGTTGTAAAACACTAATTCGATGAAGCAATAACAATATGTGGGGTTGGGTTTGGTTTTTGGTTTGATTTTTATATAAAACCAAACGGAAGGTTAGAGTTCAACTCAATTTTACATAAAAAATACTCCCTCTGTCCCACTCTCTTTATCCACTTACCTTTTGGCACATCATCCAATGCACTTCTTTAATCCATTTTATCTTGTAATTTGTATATTAAATAATTATAGAAATTATATATTAATAATCTATATGTTAAGACAAATCAAACAAGATCACACATGACTATATATAGGCTTACACATTGAGAGAATTTGATGAGTCAAAGTGCTTAGATGAACAGTTCCAAAAGTCAAAAATGGACAAAGAGAATAGGACGGAGGTAGTATGTGTCAAGTGTCCAACAAAAACATCTAAGAGCTTCCAAATACTTCCAAAGCTTTCGTATGTAAATATCAATTACGGAGAATTTGCTTTTTTGGTATAATGCTTTCATTTCCAGTCAATTATAGTATCAAAGTTTTTTCATGCAAATATATAAATTATTATTATCGATTATTAATGTTAATATAATTCTATATTTAGGATTAGTCAATGATGTTTATATTTCTAGGTTTTTTAAAGTTTATAATATGGTTTAAAATGTTTAATAGTTAGGAAAAATAAATTTAAGCAACTAATCAATTACTTGCACTTATCTTTTTATGATATTTTTCATATCACATATACTCGTATAAATAAAGCGAAGTACCTAAAAAAGTTTGGTTTATTTGGTTCGATTCAATTTTCCAAAGTGAAAACCAAAATGAAAACGAAAAATTAACGGTTTGGTTCAGTTTTTTACATTTGATTCGATTTTTTTCTAGCTCGTTTTGATCGGTTTCGGTTCGGTTTTCGGTTTTCGGTTTTCCCAACCTAGCCATACTCTATGTGCTTGTGTTTGTGGATTACGGAGTATTTGGTTATTGCACGAAATAATTCATATTTTAATATTGAAATTTAAATCTTATTTCTGAACATTTTCACATGATGGATCTTAGAAAATTAAAACATTTTCTAGGTATTGAGGTAGCTTATAGCACATATGGTATTTTCTTAAGTTAAAGAAAATATGCTCTCGATATTATTTTTGAAATAGTCCTACTCGCCTTGAGACCTTTGGCGACTTCTATCGACCAGAATCATCATTTAGATCTCTAAGCTAGAGAGTCCTCTTTTATACAGATCTAGAAAAATATCGGAGGCTTGTGGGGAGAATGGGAGGTTAGCATACGGAGTATTTATCTATCACACCTTCTAAATTGTTATATACGATTCATAATTTGGCCTAATTTTTGAATGAACCACGTGATGAACTAGGGCTGGATTGGAAATACCGAAAAACCACAAACCGAACCAAAATCAAACCGAAATCAATCGAAACGAACTAGAAAAAAACTGAACCGAAGAAATTAAAATCGAATGTAAAAAAACCAAACTGAACTGTTATTATTTGGTTTCATTTTGGTTTTCACTTTGAAAAATCGAAACAAACTCAATAAACCAAACTTTCTTAGATATTTCGCTTTATTTATATGAGTATATCTGATATGTAAAAAAATCATAGAAATATAAATGCAAATAAATTACTAGTTGGTTAAAGTTATTTTCTTAACTATGAATTAAACATTTTAACCATATTATACACCTTAAAAAAACCTAAGAATATAAATATCATTAACTAATCCTAATATAGAATCATATTAATATTAAAAATTGATACGAGTAATTTACAAAAAAAACTTTGATGTTATAATGAAAATAAATGTATTATACCAAAAAACACAAATTCTTTGTAATTGATTTTACATACGATGTCTTTAAAAGTATTTGGAATCTCCTATATAATTATTGGGCACTCAACACATTTTTTATGTAAAATTGAATCGAAGGGAAAAATAACATTCCATTTGTTTTTTTGTGTAAAAATCAAACCAAAAAACCAAACTCAACCTTACATATTGTTATTGTTCCATCAAGTTAGTGTTTTTACAATTTTTTATTCTTATAAATTTCCATTTTTATAAACAGAAAAAATATAAAAAACCAAAATAAAAATCTCATAAAACAGAACTGAGTAATCAACGATTTACATACTTTTTTATGTAAAATTGAACCGAACCGCCAACTTACCTTCCGTTTTGTCTTTGGTTTTGGGTGAAAACCGAACCCACCCCTATGATAACATTAGGCTGGTGCACTAGTTGTGGTTATATGGGTGAGCATGGGTCGGTGTGTGTCAGTTTCGGTTTAAAACCGAAAAAAATCGAATGCATTTGGTAAACCATACAAATCGACCGAACCGAACCAATTGAAGCATTAAACCACCAAAGTCGACATAAACCGATTTTTTTTTGGTCGGTTTTAAAAACTGAAAATCATAAACATTTCAAAAAAAAAAAAATCAACTACTACGTATATCCAAATGCCTATTTTGCTCTCACATAGGTTTGCTGCAGAAATTAAAAAGTTGAATCGGTCAATCTGCTTTCAATAAACAGACTTTTTGGAGTGTTTACTACAGAAATTAAAAAATGAATCCGCTATATCAAATTCATACCCTATATGGAAGGAAAAAACTGAATTGCACAATGGATATAATTTGAGGTCTTCTAGGAAACAACTGTACTAGGTATTGGTTTTGCTGATTTGCCCTCGTCATTTGGGATCTCAAGTCTGAACTTTACAACTCCATATTTCATTTGGAGTGCTGGACATGATTTTGGGCTGGGTATTGGGCTTACACCTCCTTACAAATACATTAAATATAGGGCAATGTTAGGGGTACACGAACATGGGGTACTCCAAGTGTACACCAAGCCAACACAGACACACATTGATACAAAATGTATGTGCAACACAGACACTTTGTGTCTGTGTTGGCTTTGGTGTACACTTGGGGTACCCCATGTTGGTGTACCCCTAGCTTAATTCTTAAATTATACTATCATTAGACTCGGTTTTTCGGTTGGTTTTAATTATTAAAGCCCAAAACCAAAAACCGACCGAACAACTGAAGTTGGTAAGGTCCGGTGAGGAGCAGTTCAGAGTCCGGACCCGACGGTCTTCATTGACCAAATTTAACAACACCTATCTCAACCCCTCAGGCAAAGCTCCTTGCTGTGACAACCTCTGGTGAAGCTCCCATCTCCGGCGAGGGACCCAACACAAATTGGGAGCTGAAGCTGCAACATTTTAGATTTTAATTTGGTCATTGAAATTTCCAAATTGCCCGTCCTTTCTCTATTTTAATTTCAGATTAATACCATTATTTGTTACTTCACTCCCACTTCTCTCTATTCTATATATACTCGTCTAGCTCCAAATTGTTAAGGGAGTTTCCCCATTTTCATCTTTACATTCTTGATCTAGGTTGTTTGAGATTGTGTGTTATATAGATTTGTATGTTGTTGTTGTCCATGATGGTATACTTGTGCTCCCGAATGGTCTCTAAATCACAGCAGAATCGGGAATTAGAACCTAGCCGTGAGCCTCCCTCTCAAGTCCAACCATGGAGGATACTTGAGGAACTTGTTTGATTAGTAGTAGTTCTCTTGAGACAAACGCCATGGAAGTGGGTTTTTATCTTGGAGATTCTTCCCTAATTTTCATGGAAGTGAGAGTCGGGGTAATTTGCTCGTATCTTATTTTGGTTTTTCATTGTTCATCTAGTTCATTTGTGATTTTTATTATTGAAATGAAATCCTTAACCTGGACTTGCTTTTCATTTGTTTCATGCATGGCATTTTATTTTTAGTACTGTGCATTGTATTGTTTAGTTCATTTCACTTGCATGTATGGCTTAATGACATTCTCCTTCCCTTTGACCTCATTCACATTACACAATTTAATACATACTCTCTATTAGTGTTTAGTTACACCTTACTTGATTGTTAACCAATCACGCTAGCCTCATTGATTCGACATCCTTACTTCCCACCACTATATTTGTAACACCCCGACCCCACTTTGGTCGTAAGCGTCCGCTTATAGTTTACCTTTTACGTTGTAATTATTTTTAGACTGTGATAGTCCCATTTTAAAGAAAAAGTATTTTTTATTAGATTTATTTTTTA